CCCCCCCCTTCATTTCACCCCCCCCCCCCCCATTCCTGCCCAGCTTTACATCCCCACTTTCTGTGTTTCTCCCCCTTCACACCCCCCCCCACAGTGTGTCCTCTGCCCCCCTTAAATCACCCCCCCCCCACGTAGGTCCTCTGTCCCCTTCACATCACCCCCCATATAGTGTCCTTCCCCCCCTAGCAGTGTCCTCTGTCCCCCTTCCCCCACAGTAGTGTTATTTACCCACCCAATCAGTGGCCTCTGCCCCTTCACATATACCCCCCCCCCCCCAACTGTTATGGTCCCCCTCCCCCCACAGTAGTGTCCTGTACCACCCAAAAAAAGAAGACATTCCCCTCTTGGGGATATTAGCATAGAAAGATAAGGAGTAAAAACATACAAGGCTTCCATTAAACAATAATATAATGAACTGCTGCTGCAAGGCACTAGAACAAGTTTTTCGTCCCGGGCTTAGTAGTCACAGGGAATTCCCCACCCTGCCCCCCTCATCTATGTGGCTGGAAAACTTGTCCCACAAATAAGTCTTGAATTATCCAGGGCAATGGCCTCACCAGGATTGCCCAGAAACAGTTTCCACAGCCCAGGATACATAAAGTACATTACAATGCCATTCGTTTTCTGAATGTCCCGGCCCAGATCCCAGCTCAGATCTAGGTCACCAAGTGACACCTCTTAGATGGAAATATTGTAAAAAGTTAATATAAAAATGAATAAAGTCCAGAGCAAAATTGAGCAAATTGCTGCACTATGCAGCTCTTGTGGACCAGCTAAGGCATGATAATGAAGTATGCCCAACAAGTTCCATATCCCTTCTTGGCCTCATAATCCAGTAGATACTCCTGGCTAGATCAAAGGGTTTCAGAAACCATCTCTCCTCATTGCACTGACCTGGAAACCAGGGGGACAAATTCCGATCTCCTCCATGGGCCATATGAATGAACCCCCAAGACCTCATCCACACACAGCAGCTTTATTTTATTAATTCAATACAGTTTTATCTTTTAGATTTAGCCGGAATTGTGTAAGTTATGTTGGGTTTGTGTCCCCTAATAATGATTTTTAGTGAAAATATTGTTTTGATAATCTCTGGAGGTGGGCCCTATCAGGTAGGCTGTACAGGGGCCCCATGATTTCTAACAGCAGGCCTGATTGCATCGTACACAAATTAAAAACGACTCAAAATCATTTTCCTGACCAATTGGATTTCTACCTTTATGATTTCCTGATTTTTTTTTTTTCTGGTGACCAATAGAAGAAGGATCCCCAGCATATAATCAGTGGTCAGTGTAGCGTAGCGGTCCCTTACATTGATAACCAATGGGAGAAGGTCCCCCTTATATCAGTGATCGAGTTTAGTAGTCCCCTTACATTGGGACCAATGGAAGAAGGACCCCCTTATATCAGTGGTCAGTGTAGTAGTCCCCGTACATTGGTGACCAATGGGAGAAGAACCCTCATATCAGTGGTCAGTGTAGTAGTCCCTTACATTGGTGACCAATGGGAGAAGAACCCTCATATCAGTGGTCAGTGTAGTAGTCCCTTACATTGGTGACCAATGGAAGAAGGATCCCCTTATATCAGTGGTCAGTGTGGTGGTCCCTTACATTGGTGACCAATGGGAGAAGGACCCCCTTATATCAGTGGTCAGTGCAGTGGTCCCTTACATTGGTGACCAATGGAAGAAGGACCCCTTACATCTGTGGTGACTGTAGTGGTCCCTTACATTGGTGACTAATGGGAGAAGGACCCCGTTATATCAGTGGAAAGTGTAGTCATCGCTTACATCGATGAGAAATGGGAGAAAGGACCCCTTTATATCAGTGGTCAGTGTGGTGGTCCCTTACATTGATGATAAAATGGGAGAAGGACCCCCTTATATCAGTGTCAGTGTGGTGGTCCCTTACATTGATGATAAATGGGAGAAGGACCCCTTTATATCAGTGGTCAGTGTGGTGGTCCTTATATTGGTGACCAATGGAAGAAGGACTTCTTTGTATCAGTGGTCAGTGTAGTGGTCCCTTACATTGATGACAAATGGGCGAAGGACCCCTTTGTATCAGTGGTCAGTGTGGTGGTCCCTTATATTGGTGACCAATGGAAGAAGGACCCCTTTGTATCAGTGGTCAGTGTAGTGGTCCCTTACATTGGTGACCAATGGAAGAAGGATCCCCATATATCAGTGGTCAGTGTAGTATTCCCTTACATTGGTGACGAATGGGAGAAGGACTCCTTATATCAGTGGTCAGTGTAGTGGTCCCTTACATTGGTGACCAATGGGAGAAGGACCCCTTATATCAGTGGTCAGTGTGGTGGTCCCTTACATTGGTGACCAATGGGAGAAGGACCCCCTTATATCAGTGGTCAGTGTAGTAGTCCCTTACATTGGTGACCAATTGGAGAAGGACCCCCTTATATCAGTGGTCAGTGAGACAAGGACATTCCATCATCATCAGTGAGAAGACTGCCCCCCTTAGAGATCATTGATATCAGTTATTAAAGAGAGACAGAAATTGTTCATTGCTGAAGGAACCCCTAGAAACCTTTGTAGGACCCCTGGCTGAGAAAGGCTGGACTAGGCAGTCATATATTTCTGTCCCCCTTGGTGGGAGTGGAGGTGACCCCTCTATAAGGATCTACAGTCCATACACACCCAGCACAAGGCCGGGGTCACACTACCAGACGCTTCTCGGGGCTGCAGTTCCTCTGAGCTCCACAAGGTGGGGATCTCACTTCTACCCAGACAGGAAGTCTTTATGGAAGATAGACAGGAAGTGATGTCAGGTGCAGATAGGAAGTGATGTCAGGTACAGACAGGAAGTTCCGGGTGAGAGGTGAGTGGGGAGGAAGTAGAGAGGAGACGGTGGAAGTGGCAGCAGAGGAGGTAATAAGATGTTATTTCCTATTTGCACCCAGTAACCCCCCATCATGGCCGTCCTCTTCCTCCATAGTCACGTCCGTCCTCTTCCTCCATAGTCACGTCCGTCCTCTTCCTCCATAGTCACGTCCGTCCTCTTCCTCCATAGTCACGTCCGCCCTCTTCCTCCATAGTCACGTCCGTCCTCTTCCTCCATAGTCACGTCCGTCCTCTTCCTCCATAGTCACGTCCGTCCTCTTCCTCCATAGTCACGTCCGTCCTCTTCCTCCATGGTCACGTCCGTCCTCTTCCTCCATGGTCACGTCCGTCCTCTTCCCCCATGGTCACGTCCGTCCTCTTCCCCCATGGTCACGTCCGTCCTCTTCCTCCATGGTCACGTCCGTCCTCTTTCTCCGTAGTCACGTCCGTCCTCTTTCTCCGTAGTCACGTCCGTCCTCTTCCTCCGTAGTCACGTCCGTCCTCTTCCTCCATAGTCACGTCCGTCCTCTTCCTCCATAGTCACATCCGTCCTCTTCCTCCATAGTCACTGTGACGTCTTTTATCTCCAGCAGATGATGATACACACATATATAGTGTGGGAACCCAGATTAACCCCTTCAGGGGCAGAACATTCCCCCACTTCCGGGGCCGGAACATTCTCCTCATTGTGGAGATATATTCTAGTAATATGGTCCTCTAAACAAACAGCACTGACAATAAATAGACAAGACAAGGACCATCCTGACCATACATGGCCTACAAAGGGCAATGATGACACTACACAGGCAGCCAATGGGCAATCATTACACTATGCAGCCAACACAATGATGGAGTGCGGGGTCAGGAGTATGGAGCATAGAGCCCCTTACATTGCTGGGCAGGAGGAAGAAAACATTCCCCAGCCGGCCATGAAGAATATGTTCCATCATTGGTGTCAGAGGGAGGAAAATACTGAGGGTTCTGAGGAAAGTAGAGGAGCTGAGAGTCTGTGAGGGGTAAGGGATAGACTGATGGACTATAAATACCCTTTTGGGGTTAGTGGGGCTCAGCACTGAGGGGGGTAAATGGGCTGAGAACTTTGGGGCCTCTGTGGGGGTTGTGTAGCTGAAAGGTTCTGGGTCCTTGGTAAAGTTGGCAGGCAGCAGGGCTCTGAGGGAAAAGGAGGTTGTAGGGCCCAGGGGGACTCTCAGGTAGAGAGGGTTCCTTGTTCTTTTCAGACCTCCTTACAGAATCCTGCCAGGAAAGGAAGACAACCTTCACCTTCTTACCATCTCACTGCTTAAATATAATTTTTCAAGATACCAAGTGGAATGAAGTAGGACAGTCCTTCACCCCCCTTGGTGGGCACTCATTCTTAGAGGAGGTCTGATTGCACAGCATCACCTAGAGGGTGGTCAGAGGTCAGTGCTATGTGTTTGGGAGGCAGTTCAATATCTTTTCATGACACAGGCTCTGGAAGTGCCAATGCTGGAAATTAGAGCCTGAGAGGGACCCCACCACTCTTTATAGGTGCAACAAACATTAGGAGGTGAGCGCACATCTTATACTCACTAGGGAAGTCACCTGGAATTATTGATTTGATTCACTGGGAAAAGTCACTTATATTTTTTTCATTGAAGACTGAATAATTTTTATATATATTTTTTTATATTATCTATATTTTTTGTATGATGAGCACAGGATGACATTTTGATTTCACGTGATTTTCACAAGTTTATTAATATTGATTTTTTGATATATTTTTTTTGGAAATATGTATTGATTTAATATTCAAAGAAGGAGCGCAACATATTGTTTTTATGTTTTTGAATTATTTGCACATTTAAAGAGGATGTGTTGTATGTTTGCAATCCTGGAATAGCAGTGAGTGGCTCGCAAGTTACATCTTTGTTTTTATTTGAAAGTGACATCACTCCTGTCAGTCAGAAGGCTGCCAGAGATTGGAGTCTTGCAGCCGGAGTTCTGCCAATTATCCTGATTAGCTGGCAACTTCGGCCAAAAGTCAGCAAGTTCCCCTTCCTGGACATCATGATGACCCAACATTGATCTCACAGCACTGCCTCAGAGCAAACAAGTCAGAGGAAGGATCATATTTATCATTCCTTGTCTGCAGATCTAATACTCATTAAAACCAGTTCAGAGACCAAACAAACCCAACAGAGAAAAATACATTTCTGGTCTGGCAGGACAAGAGGGTTCTCGGTTCTTGAAAATGTATCAAACAATAAACAGTCCAAACTAAATGTGTTCCCATGGGGGGAGTAGTTCTAAAATGTCCAGCAACCCTCCTATTCCCCCCTCACATCCACATCCTATTATTGTGTGACCAATACCATCCAAATCATTCTTACTTTCATTTCCCAAAGTTATCCGTCTACAAGGAGACCTGTATAGATCACATGATGGCACCAATGAGGATGGAGGAGGACCGGAGTCACATGACTGAGAAGATACTAAACCTCACCCTGGAGATCATCTACCTGCTGACCGGAGAGGTGAGGAGGATTCTGGGAGGTCACATGACATCACTCTAGTCTCCATTAATAAGAAGACCTGACCGGAGAGGTGAGGAGGATTCTGGGAGGTCACATGACATCACTCTTATCTCTTAATAAAACACAGACCTGACCGGAGAGGTGAGGAGGATTCTGGGAGGTCACATGACATCACTCTTATCTCTTAATAAAACACAGACCTGACCGGAGAGGTGAGGAGGATTCTGGGAGGTCACATGACATCACTCCTATCTCTATTAATGAAACACAGACCTGACCGAAGAGGTGAGGAGGATTCTGGGAGGTCACATGACATCACTCTTATCTCTATTAATAAAACACAGACCTGACCGCAGAGGTGAGGAGGATTCTGGGATTCTAACATGATATTCCTATTGGTTCCTCAATACAGAGATTTCCTCTTTGAAGTCAGCTGATCATATGACCATCACAGTGCCTCCATGTGACTCCCTAAAACCTGAGAGACACAACATGCAGAAGATTCTAGAAGTCACCAGAGAGATCACTGAGCTGCTGACAGGAGAGGTGAGCGGTGCCGGGAATTCTGGGACATTCTCCAGTAACAGACAAGGGATGTGTCTGGATGGTGACTGTATCATTGTGTGTGTCAGGTTCCTATAAGGTGTCAGGGTGTCACTGTCTATTTCTCCATGGAGGAGTGGGAGTATTTAGAAGGACACAAGGATCTCTACAAGGACGTCATGATGGACAATCAGCCGCCCCTCACATCACCGGGTAAGAGGAGACTTTATTGTAAAGGAGAGAGCAGTACGGAGGATCCACCTAGATCCCCCATCATCTGATAAACACATAGAAACAATGGATTCAGTCAGTGTGTGTGTTTCCTACAGATGGATCCAGTCATGGGAACCCACCAGAGAGATGTCCCCGTCCTCTGTATTCCCGGGATTCCACACAGGAAGGTCACACCCATCCCTCACCATCATCAGGTAGATGGATCCAGTCATGGGAACCCACCAGAGAGATGTCCTTGTCCTCTGTATTCCCGGGATTCCACACAGGAAGGTCACACCATCCCTCACCATCATCAGGTAGATGAGGAACAATCACTGAGAGTATCATTAGGATCTGTACATTATCTGCATTGTTACCATTGATGGCATTTTTATGATTCAGAGTGGAAACCTGAGAGATTCTAACTTTGAGTTTAAATCAGAAGAAGAAGAGACGTATGTGAGGGATGATCAGCAGTCTATGGAGGAGGATGGAATAACGGGGACATTTATAGAGGAGGACACTCCTACAGAGATCAGCACAGGTGGGTCATGAACACTAAATCCATTCCTCCACCCATACTGCTTACTGATTGGTCCAGAGTAGGGCGGGGACTGGGTGATATCAGCCTGTAATACCCTGGTCACTTTCCTGAGCTGTGTTCCCCGTCCTGTATTCCTGGATTTCTCTCGGATAATCTTCCTTCTCTGTGCTGCAGACACAATTTATGTATCTAGACTGGATTTATGGAGGTTCTGGGGTTCAGCTGGCAGCAAAATGTTGATTTTCACCATAGGCTCTGCTCAACCTATGTACCTGGAGTATGTGTCTTGGGTCTCTTTCTCCATGCCCAGGTCTAGCAAGATGCCTAACAGTAATTCTCCCAGGGTTCCTTGCTCTGTGGTCTGCTGGCTGTGCCGGGTGGAGGGATATGTCTGTATAATCTCAGACCCAAGTCACTGAGTGCAGTCTCAGGAGATGGGAGGCAGCGGGGTAGGACCTCTGATTACTGAATACCAATATTATGAGTCCTGACTCCTGCACTATATTCTCTGTTATACATTACACAATTCTGAAACTGTATAGTCTTAATTTTTGTATCCTATATAATAAGTTGTACATTACAAAGCCAAGTAATACCTATGTAATGTACAACTTATTATATAGGATACAAAAGTTAAAGAAGTAACTTTTGCTCTCATTTCCTACCAGCTGGACATTTTATATCGGATGATGTGATTGGAGCACAGACTTTTACATGTTGATAATAATGGGATAACATCCTCCAACTTTGGACCCTTAAACAGAAAGTGATAATGAGGGAGGAGTCAATACCCCAATGATGGTGGTCTTCAGGATCAGTTCAGTCTTCATCTTGGTTCCCCCCCCGCCCCCCCCTCCCCTCCACCCAACCGTTCTCCCCCATCCTCACTCTCTGACCTCTGGTGGAGCTCAGCCCCGCTGTTCTTCATGACTAAATCATGGACTAAATAAGGAAGTGCAGTACTTCTTGTGTTGAGAAGATGGCGATGAGTTATAGAGGGGGTGGGGACCCTCGTCCTATAATCCCCTCATCACTGTCCCTCCTATAAAAGACAGTTCTGGTTGTTACCTCACTCTCTGACCAAGGTCCATGAATAAAGAAATGACCTGGTAGGAGATCAGAGGAGCCATTTCCTAGTTCCCTTGAGGGTGGAATTGTAAGCTCCTCAGAGACCAAGCTGTCTGATGTGGGCGGGAGTCCTGGTTTGGGGGAACCAATCAGCTCCTGTCTAGTAATCCTCTTTGTCTTTGTATTTTAGTCCATGGCCGGGAGATGAGGAAAACCTCCGAGGATTGTCTCACTTTGTCTCCAGACTGGAAAGTAGAAGATGAGGACATCACACAGTATAGTCCAAGAGAAAACCCGGCTCCCTCCAATGTCCATCCGGCACCACCCAGTGTAGATGGACCATTGGATTCCTCGTATCCTGAGGACCCTCAGACTGTGCGGGACCGGGCCGGCCTTCCAACAGAGAAGAGCTTCTCCTGTACTGAGTGCGGGAAGAGGTTCCGTTTAAGTCCAGTCTTAATGTGCATAAACGTTCTCACACGGGGGAGAAGCCGTATTCCTGTCCTGAGTGCGGGAAATGTTTTTCATACAAGTCTTATCTTTCCAGACATCAGAAATCTCACTCGGGGGAGAAGCCACTTTCCTGCTCTGAGTGCAGGAAATGTTTTACACAAAAATCAGAACTTGTCACACATCAAAGGTCTCTCATGGAAGAAAAGCCATATTCCTGTCCTGAATGTGGGAAATTTTTTTCAGAGAAGTCTAAATTTGATAATCATCAGAGATCGCACAAAGGGCAAAAACCATATCCCTTTTTTGGGTGCAAGAAATGTTTTTCATTCAAGTCTTCTCATTCCAGACATCAGAGATTGCTCACAGGGAAGAAGCTGTATTCCGTCCTGAATGCGAAAAATGTTTTGTAAAAAAATCACAAATTGTCACACATCAGAGATCTCACACGGGGGGGAAAAGCCTTATTCTTGTCCTGAGTGCGGGAAAATGTTTTTCAGTGAAGTCCAATCTTTACAGACATCAGAGGTGTCACACAGGGGAGAAGCCGTTTTCCTGTTCTGAGTGCGGGAAATGTTTTTCAGATAAGTCCAGTCTTTATATTCATCAAAGACTGCATACGGGAGAGAAGCCATATTTCTGTTCTGAGTGCGGGAAATGTTTTGCACAAAAACCAAAGCTTGTCAAACATCAAAGGTCTCACACGGGGGAAAAGCCATACTTTTGTATTGAGTGCGGGAAATGTTTTGCAGATAAGTCCAATCTTTACAGACATAAGAGATCTCACACGGGGGAGAAGCCACTTTCCTGTCCTGAGTGAGGGAATTGTTCCTCTCTGAAGTCCTGTCTTCCTGTACATCAGGGGTCCCACACAACCCTGGAAGTGTATTAGTGCCTTGAGTGCGGGAAATGTCTTCTAGATGAATGTTGCTGGACATCCCAGCTCTCATGCGGGGAAGAAGCACACCCTGATATACACCTCAGATATACTCCATGGCTGATCTTCATCATGGAAGAAACAGTTCATAAGGAGATCAGAGGTCCCCAAAGACATGGATGAAGTGTGGGACCGGGTTGGCCATTGATAGCAGGAGAAGAATAAAAATGGAGTCATCACCTTTCATTGGCTGAGTACATTTTGTAATGTAGAGGCTTAGAGGTCTATTTTGTTAAAAAAAATGTCGAACAAATGTGACGTGCATTTGCCCAGCCATGACAAATATCAGACGTATTATTTTTCATATAGAGATTTCCTCTGATAATTGTCCCCATCTAGTGACCATAATGCTGCATCATGCTCTGTCTACTGATGGAGATATTTCAGGAAAAATACCTCATTATGACCACTAGATGGAGCCGATGATCATAGGAAATCATGGTGTTAACCAAATTATGGCCGGAATGTATAACAGCTGAGCGAATGCTCATCACACTCGTCCAACAAATTTGTCCTTGTCCTGCGCTCCTGCGATGTCCCCCCCCTGCAGCGTCCCCGGCCATCTCTTCCGGCCGATGCCGGCATCTGTCTTCCGGGTTCCGTTCCCTGCGACGTTGGGACGTACGGGGGACGGAACGGCAGGAAATTTAAAAATGTTAAAAAGTGACATTCACTAAATACACTAAAATCACATAGTATAACATTCCTGTACAAAACCATTTCACATACATTTTGTCCTTACTGCTTTGTCCGGCGCCCTGCCTGCATTTTTACTGTTCTTTCTGCCTGGAAACTGAGAAACGTCCATGGCGTCCAAAAAGCGTCCCTTTAGGTCAAAAGCGGTTTTAGACCGGCTAGAGAACAGCGATAGTAAATCAGAACCACTTGCAGAATTGAGTGATAATGATTCGTGGGGGAAATTCCTCATCAGACACTGAAAACGATTCTGCGACTTTGCTCAGTGATGTGGGAACTTGGCGCTATATTTCACATTTCAGTGTTTTTGGTTTGATTATATTATTGAATTAAATGTATTATTATATTATTTTTTTCTGATTATTTAATAAATTATAATTTATGATTTCGTGTTTCAAATTTTATCATACCCGGGATGTTTACTAGACTCTTGTTCGGACAGATTTCAGTGAGTTATTCCTAAGAATAACAGGCCTACAATAAAAAAAGAACATATTTCCATGCAAAAAAATGTACCGCTTTGAGCACAGAAATACTGACATAATCAGACCGCTAGGGAGGTTAAGAAGCAACCTCCCAGATGATCCACTTGACCTTGAACATAAATGTCCATGAGATCTGCTGGGAGACACCTGCTGGTGGCCACCAGAACCGCACCCTTCTCCTCTGGGACTCGCATTGCCACTAGCAGGTTATCCAGACCCTGACAGTTCCCCCTTAATGAGCAACCTCCAAGATGATCCACTTGACCTTGAACATAAATGTCCATGTGAGAGACCCTTGCGCTGGTTAAGTCCAAAAAGGAGAAGATGCATGCATCAGTGTCTAAGGACTTTCCCAATTTCCTAAGGACATAGTCCTTCAACCTTCAGGATACCCGAGTGACAAGGCCTGGAAACTGGCTGGGTGCCCTGTCACCAGGATCTGCAAACTGGCTTGGGTCCACAGATCAGATCCTATAATAGGTGCTAGATCACAATGCTAGGATCCCATTGGCCATCTGAAGGTTTAGCACTGGAGCCCTTAACCCATAAAAGTATTCTGACACCAGGGTGTCCCAGCGTAACTTGACCTTCCATGCCTTAGTTACTAGTCTGGTCACTAGAAACTGCTTTGCATTTTAATGACCACCCAGGTCTTTCCAAGGCACTGGTTACCCATCACAGGTCTTTCCAAGGCAGTGGTTACCCATCACAGGTCTTTCTAAGGCACTGGTTACCCATCACAGGTCTTTCCAAGGCAGTGGTTACCCATCACAGGTCTTTCCGAGGCACTGGTTACCCATCACAGGTCTTTCCGAGGCAGTGGTTACCCATCACAGGTCTTTTCGAGGCAGTGGTTACCCATCACAGGTCTTTCCGAGGCACTGGTTACCCATCACAGGTCTTTCCAAGGCACTGGTTACCCATCACAGGTCTTTCCAAGGCAGTGGTTACCAATCACAGGTCTTTCCAAGGCAGTGGTTACTCATCACAGGTCTTTCTAAGGCAGTGGTTACCCATCACAGGTCTTTCCAAGGCACTGGTTACCCATCACAGGTCTTTCCAAGGCACTGGTTACCCATCACAGGTCTTTCCAAGGCAGTGGTTACCCATCACAGGTCTTTCCGAGGCACTGGTTACCCATCACAGGTCTTTCCGAGGCAGTGGTTACCCATCACAGGTCTTTTCGAGGCAGTGGTTACCCATCACAGGTCTTTCCGAGGCACTGGTTACCCATCACAGGTCTTTCCAAGGCACTGGTTACCCATCACAGGTCTTTCCAAGGCAGTGGTTACCAATCACAGGTCTTTCCAAGGCAGTGGTTACTCATCACAGGTCTTTCTAAGGCAGTGGTTACCCATCACAGGTCTTTCCAAGGCACTGGTTACCCATCACAGGTCTTTCCAAGGCACTGGTTACCCATCACAGGTCTTTCCAAGGCACTGGTTACCCATTACAGGTCTTTCCAAGGCAGTGGTCCCATCACAGGTCTTTCCAAGGCACTGGTTACCCATCACAGGTCTTTCCAAGGCACTGGTTACCCATTACAGGTCTTTCCAAGGCAGTGGTCCCATCACAGGTCTTTCCAAGACAGTGGTTACCCATCACAGGTCTTTCCAAGGCAGTGGTTACCCATTACAAGTCTTTCCAAGGCACTGGTTACCTATCACAGGTCTTTCCAAGGCAGTGGTCCCATCACAGGTCTTTCCAAGGCACTGGTTACCCATCACAGGTCTTTCCAAGGCAGTGGTCCCATCACAGGTCTTTCCAAGGCACTGGTTACCCATCACAGGTCTTTCCAAGGCACTGGTTACCCATCACAGGTCCCCAAACACAGCTGGAGTTGTAGAGATTGTTCCTGGGCTAGAGAAAAGTTCAAATGGAACTCTGCCCTTCCCCAGAAGACCTCTACTACTGGAGGTGTTCTAACAAGTGCAATTCTCAAACTCAGACTGGATGTCTGGAACACAACGGTTTGACACAATAGAAGCAAATGGCTGCAATAGGACCTGAGGCAAGGCAGCTGCAGGAATCCCAGACCAGATGGGTAACCCAACCCATATGGAAGAAAAATATATTTGAAATATATTTTAAAAATATTCTTCCCAAATATATTGCCATATATTTGAAATGCTACAATTTTGGCCATAGTATATATATATATTGCATGTTGAAATGCATTAATACAAAATATATTTTTAAAAATACATTTCAAATACACTGTATGTCTTTAAAAATACAAATCTACATTTTTGGAATGCATTTACAATTATATGTAAAAACATATGTTAAAATGACTTTTTTATATGTTAAAAAGAAATCTGAAGAATATATATTTTAAAATATATATTTTTTTAAAAAATCTATTTTTTTTTAATATATTCTTCAGATTTTTTTTAACATATAAAAAGTCATTTTAACATATGTTTTTACATATAATTGTAAATGCATTCCAAAATTGTAGATTTGTATTTCTTTGTATACAGTATATTTGAAATGTATTTTAAAAATATTTTTTCATATATTTTGCAATAAAAAAATGCTTTTCATTATACAGTATGTATATTTATTAAGATATATTTTGAAATATATTGAATACGACCAAAATTGTAGTATTTAAAATATATGGCAATATAATTGGGAAGAATATTTTTAAATAAAATTCAAATATATTTTTCTTCCATATGGGATGCTAGACATGCAACAAATGTTGTCAGGGTTTTTCTGATATTAAACGATAAATAATATGGATTCTTAATTTTTCAGATGAACTTAGTATCAAGTCAAGTCAAAATATAAAAGATCCTTGGACATTTGTTTCCTTAAGGCATACACTGAAACTGAGGGAAAGGTCTGATTGGGTGGACCTTGTCTGCTGATATAGTCCAACTGCTTGTATTCTGAGACAGTGGAGATGGTAGCTTCTGAATTAAAATTAAATTCTCTAAGCCATCCTGAGTTCCTAGGTTGAAATTTTAAATTTTTGTGTAGTTACGTCACAACTTGCCCTCCAGAGGATTACCCCTCCTTCCTGACCAGGCCATTTTTTGCGTTACGGCTCTGCGTTACTTTGATGATTGCGCGGTCGTGCAACGCTGCACCCAAATGAAATTTACGTCCTTTTTTCCCATGAATTAAGCTTTCTTTCGGGTGGTATTTGATTCCCTGTGCGGTTTTTATTTTTTGCGCTATAAAAAAAAATAAGAACGACAATTTTGAGAAAAAAAAAAATATTTTTTTTTACTTTTCCCTATTAAACATGTCCAGTGAAAAAAATGTAAAAATCATAAATTTAGGCCAAAATGTATTCTGCGCCATGTCATTGCTAAAAAAAATCCCAAGACGTGTAAATGAATTGGTTTACGTAAAAGTTATAGCGTTTACAAATGACGGTATAGATACTGGGGTCTTTAAAACATTTTTTTTTTACTAGTAATGATGGTGATCAGCGACTGCGGCGGACATTCTGACGCGGGGAAACTGACTTGGTGTCACTGACATTCCCAGTGACACCCATACAGTGATCAGTGCTAAAAAAAAAAGCACTGACACTGTACTAATGGCATTGGGCAGGAAGGGGTTAATATGAGGGACGATCAAAATGTTAACTGTTTGCATGGAATGTTTTACTAGGGGGCGGTGTCTGTGTGCTTCACTGTAAGCACACTGCTTTGGATGGCTGTGCTGTGCACAGCCATCCAAAGCAGTGTGCCCCAGCTGACAGAGAGGAGAACTGTTAGTAAACAAAACACTTCTCCTCCCGTCAGAGATCCTTGGTAATCACCAGGTGCCGGCGAGTAATCACTGGCCGGGAACCAGAGATTGATGGGATATATACACAGGATCACCAGGGGCGGCAGACACAGGATTAGCATTGGCAGGCTTGGCAGCACACACAGGATTAGCAGAGGCAGACTGGGCAGCAGGAAAAGGGCAGCAGGCACAGGATCAGCAGAGGCAGTAGGCACAGGATTAGCAGAGGCAGGCTGGGCAGCAGACAGGATTATCGGAGGCATGCTGGGAAGCAGGAACAGGAGCAGAAGGCACAGGATCAGCAGAGGCAAGCTGGGCATCAGGCACAGGATCAGAAGGAGCAGGCTAGGCAGCAGACACAGGATTAGCAGAGGAAGGCTTGGTAGCAGACACAGGATCAGCAGGGGCACCAGACACAGGATTAGCTGAGGCAGGCTGGGCAACAGACACAGGATTAGCAGAGGCAGGCTGGGCAGCAGACAGGATTAGCGGAGGCAGACTGGGAAGCAGGAACAGGAGCAGAAGGCACAGGATCAGCAGAGGCAAGGGGGCATCAGGCACAGGATCAGCAGGAGCAGGCTAGGCAGCAGACACAGGATTAGCAGAGGAAGGCTGGGTAGCAGACACAGGATCAGCAGGGGTAGCAGACACAGGATTAGCAGAGGCAGGCTGGGCAACAGACACAGGATTAGCAGATGTAGGCTGGGCAGCAGTCACAGGATCAGCAGGGACAGCAGTCACAGGATCAGCAGGGGCAGGCTGGACAGCAGAAATAGGATCAGCAGAGGTGGGCTGGGCAGCAGTCACAGGATCAGCAGAAGCAGGTTTGGCAGTAGGCACAGGATCAGCAGGGGCAACAGGCACAGGGTCAGCAGGGACAGGCCGGACAGTAAATAGATGATCAGTGAAGACAGATTGAATAGGATTTGTGAAGTATGGTGTAGCTGCAAATGTGGGATCAATAGAGTCAGGTAGAAGATCAGTAGAGTCAGCCTGAGCAGCCGGGGAGTTATCATCAGAGTCAAGCTGGAGGTTGGAACATGGGCTTGGTGCACAGTGGGTTTAAGCACTGGTGGAGAGCCCCACTTGGCTGAGTGAGCCAGTCTGTCCCAAGGATGGATGGAACTTCTTAGAAAGTCTTGAGCTGACATTTTTGTGATAGAGTAAAGCCAGGGTACTGAGAGTTCCAAATATGAAAGGGCAGTAGTCAGAACGGAGACCGAGTATGGAGCAGACTGACCCATAGTTAATGTAGGGCTTGGCCAAACTGAGGTAGCTGGTAAGGGAGAAGCAAAAATGATTAGTGTAGGTTGGACTGGGGAAGCAGCCATGGAAGCAGGCTGGACTAGAGCAGCAGCCATGGAAGCAGGCTGGACTGGAGCAGCAGCCATAGAAGCAGGCTGGACTGGAGAAGCAGCCATAAAAGCAGGCTGGACTGGAGAAGCAGCAATGGAAGCAGGCCTGACTGGAGCAGCAGCCATGGAAGCAGGCTGCACTGGAGCAGCAGCCATGGAAGCAGGCTGGACTGGAGAAGCTGCCATGGAAGCAGGCTGGACTGGAGAAGAAGCCATGGAAGCAGGCTGGACTGGAGAAGAAGCCATGGAAGTAGGCTGGACTGGAGAAGAAGCCATGGAAGCAGGCTGGACTGGAGAAGAAGCCATGGAAGCAGGCTGGACTGGAGCAGCAGCCATGGAAGCAGGCTGGACTGGAGAAGCCGCCATGGAAGCAGGCTGGACTGGAGAAGAAGCCATGGAAGCAGGCTGGACTGGAGAAGCCACCATAGAAGCAGGCTGGACTGGAGAAGAAGCCATGGAAGCAGGCTGGACTGGAGAAGCAGCCATGGAAGCAGGCTGGACTGGAGAAGCAGCCATGGAAGCAGGCTGGACTGGAGAAGCAGCCATGGAAGCAGGCTGGACTGGAGCAGCAGCCATGGAAGCAGGCTGGACTGGAGCAGCAGCCATGGAAGCAGGCTGGACTGGAGAAGAAGCCATGGAAGCAGGCTGACTGGAGAAGAAGCCATGGAAGCAGGCTGGACTGGAGCAAGCAGCCATGGAAGCAGGCATGGACTGGAGAAGCAGCCATGGAAGCAGGCTGGACTGGAGAAGCAGCCATGGAAGCAGGCTGGACTGGAGCAGCAGCCATGGAAGCAGGCTGGACTGGAGAAGAAGCCATGGAAGCAGGCTGGACTGGAGAAGCAGCCATGGAAGCAGGCTGGACTGGAGAAGAAGCCATGGAAGCAGGCTGGACTGGAGAAGAAGCCATGGAAGCAGGTTGGACTGGAGAAGAAGCCATGGAAGCAGGCTGGACTGGAGAAGAAGCCATGGAAGCAGGCTGGACTGGAGAAGAAGCCATGGAAGCAGGCTGGACTGGAGAAGAAGCCATGGAAGCAGGCTGGACTGGAGAAGAAGCCATGGAAGCAGGTTGGACTGGAGAAGAAGCCATGGAAGCAGGCTGGACTGGAGAAGAAGCCATGGAAGCAGGCTGGACTGGAGCAGCAGCCATAGAAGCAGGCTGGACTGGAGACACAGCCATGGAAGCAGGCTGGACTGGAGCAGCAGGCACTTGAACAAGATGGACTGGATGTGATAATCATTGGAACAAGCTGGACTGAAGCAGTTGGCATGGAGGTAGACTGGTCTGAGACAGCAGGGATGACGGTAGGAACTGGCACAGGATCAGACTGAGCAATGGTTGGTTCAAACAAGCACAAGAGGGCGCCTCCATCTAGGTTTACAGATTTATTAACATGGAAGTAAAGTCACTTTTTAACTTGAACCTACAGGTAAGCCAATAATAAAGCTTACCTGTACGAACAGTGACTATCTCCTAAACCTGCACTGTTTAGGAGATATTCACACAGCATGCAACTGGTGACGTCACCGGTGCATGCATTTTGAAGGGACGGCATACTTGTGCCAGAGCAGGGGTCCTGCAGGAGAGTGACATCATTGTGGCCCCAGCCATTCATACAGCAGGAGTCCACGAATCCAGAGGGAAGAGCGAGTGAAGTGAAGATGGATGCACCCAGTAGCCATGATGGTGCTGAGCTGGAGGGCTCCATGTCCAGGTAAGTCTGTCATAATGTGCAGTGCATAATAGTACATTATGACTTTTTTTTTTCAATTTGTGGCAAATTAATAAAGTTTTTTTGCAATTTAAAAAAGAATAAAAACCATCAAAAATGCACTCCCTAATTTAAAGTGGATAAAGGCTTGTCCTCAAACCATATAGACCTCAATAGGATCACCGGGAGACTGCAGAGCTCGGCAGGCAAGTGGAGGCAGAGAAGCTGCTGGTGGAAGTACAGCTGTCTGGTTTAAGGCCAGAACATACAATACATTGCCAAAATTATTGGGCCTCCCCTCCAATCATTAGATTCATATGTTCCAATCCCCTCTATGGCCACAGGTGTATACACTCAAGCCCCTAGGCATGCAGACTGCTTCTACAAACATTGGTGAAAGAATGGGTCGCTCTCAGGAGCTCAGTGACTCCAAGCGTGGTCCCCGTGATAGGTTGCCACCTGTGCAATAAGTCCATCCGTGACATTTCTACTAAATATTCCACGCTCAACTGTTAGTGGGATTATAACAAAGTGGAAGCAACTGGGAACAACAGCAACTCAGCAGCCACCAGTGGTAGGCCACGTCACATGACAGAGCGGGGTCAGCGCATGCTGAAGTGCACAATGCGCAGAAGTCGCCAACTGTCTGCAGAGTCAATAGCTAAAGACCTCCAAACTTGGTGTGGCCTTCAGATTAGCACAACAACAGTGCATATAGAGCTTCATGGAATGGGTTTCCATGGCCGAGAGCAGCTGTATTCAAGCCTTACATCATCAAGTGCGAAGTGGTGTAAAGCACGCCACCACTGGACTCTAGAGCAACGGAGACGTGTTCTATTGAGTGACCAGTCACACTTATCTCTGTCTAGCAATGTGATGGACGTGTCTGGGTTTGGCAGTTGCCAGGAGAACAGTACTTGCCTGACTGGATTGTGCCAAGTGTAAAGTTTGGTGGAGGGGGGATTATGGTGTGGGGTTGTCTTTCAGGGGTTGGGCTTGGCCCACCAGTTCCAGTGAAGGGAACTCTTAAGGCATCAGCATACCAAGACATTTTGGGCAATTTCATGCTCCCAACTTTTGTTGGAACAGTTTGGGGATGGCCCCTTCCTGTTCCAACATGACTGCACACCAGTGCACAAAGCAAGGTCCACAAAGACATAGAGGAGCCAGTTTGGGGTGGAGGAACTTGACTGGCCTGCACAGAGTCTGGACCTCAACCCCATAGAACACCTTTGGGATGAATTAGAGCGGAGACTGTGAGCCAGGCCTCCTCCCCCCGACATCAGTGCCTGACCTGACAAATGTGCTTCTGGAAGAATGGTCCAACCTTCCCATAGACACCCTCCTAAACCTTGTGGACGGCCTTCCCAGAAGAGTTGAAGCTGTTATAGCTGCAAAGGGCGGGGCCAACTCAATATTGAACCCTACGGACTAAGGCTGGGAGGCCATTAAATTAAGTTCTTGTGCGTGGAAAAGGCTGGCGGAACAATACTTTTGGCTCAAGCTCCAAACAGCACTTCTCTTGGCTGGGAGGGGTGGCTGTGGACGTGGTATACTTGGACAGAGGGGGGGGACTGTGGGGGGCTGTGGATGTGGTATACTTGGACAGAGGGGGGTCGGTGGACGTGGTATGGACGTGGTATACTTGGACAGAGGGGGTGTCGTTGGACGTGGTATACTTGGACAGAGGGGTGTCGGTGGACGTGGTATACTTGGACAGAGGGAGGGGCTGTGGATGTGGTATACTTGGACAGAGGGGGGGCTATGGACGTGGTATACTTGGACAGAGGGGTGTCGTTGGACGTGGTATACTTGGACAGAGGGGTGTCGGTGGACGTGGTATACTTGAATTTTGCAAAAGCGTTTGACACAGCTCCCACACACGGCTAATATGTAAGGTAAAGTCTACAGGCTGGAAAAATACGTATGTAAATGGATAAAAAACTGGCTAAAAAGATGGTATTCAGAGAGTAGTGGTGAATGATTCATACTCTGAATGGTCTAGGGTGTAAGTGGTGTGTATCCCAGGGTTCAGTGTAATTAGTGGGGTACCACAAGGTTTCAGTGTTATTAGTGGGTACCCCAGGGTTCAGTGTTGGGACCCTTACTTTTTAATACATTTATAAACAATATAAGGTCTGGGATTATAAATCCCATTTCAGTCTTTGCAGATGACACCAAACTGTGCCGGGGAATAATGTCCTTACAGGATGTCTCCAACTTACAAGCCGACCTCAATGCTCTGTGTAATTGGGGGACTATGGGGCCAATGAGGGTTAATATTGATTAAATGTAAGGTTCTGCACTTGGCGCCTAAGAATATGCATGCATCATACATACTAGGGGGGGTACAACTGGAGGGTTAGTGGTGGAGAAGGATCTGGGGGGGTCAATGGTGGAGAAGGATCTGGGGGGTCACTGGCGGAGAAGGATCTGGGGGGTTCTAGTAGATCACAAGCTTAATAACGGCATGCAATGCCAAGCTGCGGGTTCTAAAGTGAGCAAAATCCTCTCTTGTATTAGGAGAGGTACAGACTCCAGAGAGAGATATCACCCCCCCCCCCCCCCCCCCCCCCCCGGTACAAATCATTAGTAAGACCTCATCTGGAATATTCAGTTCAGTTTTGGGCTCCAATTCACATAAAGAACATTGGGGAAACTGGAGAAAGTACAGAGAAGGGCAACCAAACTGATACGAGGCATGGAGGAGATCAGCTATGAGGAAAGATTAGAGGAACTGAATTTATTCTCTACTGAGAAGAGGAGATTAAGGGGGGATATGATCTCCATGTATAATACATAAGGGGGGATATGATCTCCATGTATAATACATAAGGGGGGATATGATCTCCATGTATAATACATAAGGGGGATATGATCACCATGTATAATACATAAGGGGGGATATGATCTCCATGTATAATACATAAATATGATCACCATGTATAATACATAAAGGGGGGATATGATCACCATGTATAATACATAAGGGGGATATGATCTCCATGTATAATACATAAGGGGGATATGATCACCATGTATAATACATAAGGGGGATATATAATCACCATGTATAATACATAAGGGGGGGATATGATCACCATGTATAATACATAAGGGGGGATATGATCTCCATGTATAATACATAAGGGGGGATATGATCTCCATGTATAATACATAAGGGGGGATATGATCTCCATGTATAATACATAAGGGGGGATATGATCTCCATGTATAATACATAAGGGGGGGAGTATGATCTCCATGTATAATACATAAGGGGGGGATATGATCACCATGTATAATACATAAGGGGGGATATGATCTCCATGTATAATACATAAGGGGGGATATGATCATCATGTATAATACATAAGGGGGATATGATCTCCATGTATAATACATACATAAGGGGGGATATGATCTCCATGTATAATACATAAGGGGGATATATGATCTCCATGTATAATAATACATAAGGGGGATATGATCACCATGTATAATACATAAGGGGGATATGATCTCCATGTATAATACATAAGGGGGGATATGATCTCCATGTATAATACATAAGGGGGGATATGATCTCCATGTATAATACATAAGGGGGATATGATCTCCATGTATAATACATAAGGGGGGGATATGATCTCCATGTATAATACATAAGGGGGGATATGATCTCCATGTATAATACATAAGGGGGATATGATCTCCATGTATATAATACATAAGGGGGGATATGATCTCCATGTATAATACATAAGGGGGGATATGATCTCCATGTATAATACATAAGGGGGGATATGATCTCCATGTATAATACATAAGGGGGGATATGATCTCCATGTATAATACATAAGGGGGGATATGATCTCCATGTATAATACATAAGGGGGGATATGATCTCCATGTATAATACATAAGGGGGGATATGATCTCCATGTATAATACATAAGGGGGGATATTGATCTCCATGTATAATACATAAGGGGGGATATGATCTCCATGTATAATACATAAGGGGGGATATGATCTCCATGTATAATACATAAGGGGGATATGATCTCCATGTATAATACATAATGATCACCATGTATAATACATAAGGGGGATATGATCTCCATGTATAATACATAAGGGGGATATGATCTCCATGTATAATACATAAGGGGGGATATGATCACTCCATGTATAATACATAAAGGGGGATATGATCTCCATGTATAATACATAAGGGGGATATGATCTCCATGTATAATACATAAGGGGGGATATGATCTCCATGTATAATACATAAGGGGGATATGATCTCCATGTATAATACATAAGGGGGATATGATCTCCATGTATAATACATAAGGGGGGATATGATCACTATGTATAATACATAAAGGGGGATATGATCACCATGTATAATACATAAGGGGGATATGATCACCATGTATAATACATAAGGGGGATATGATCTCCATGTATAATACATAAGGGGGGATATGATCTCCATGTATAATACATAAGGGGGAATGTGATCTCCATGTATAATACATAAGGGGGGATATGATCTCCATGTATAATACATAAGGAGGGATATGATCTCCATGTATAATACATAAGGGGGGGATATGATCTCCATGTATAATACATAAGGGGGGATATGATCTCCATGTATAATACATAAGGGGGGATATGATCTCCATGTATAATACATAAGGGGGATATGATCACCATGTGTATAATACATAAGGGGGGATATGATCTCCATGTATAAATACATCAGTGGTTCATATAGTGAACTCAGTGTAGAGTTACTCACCCTGAGGTCATCACAGAGGACAAGGGGGCGCTCTTTACACCTGGAGGAAAAGAAATGTAATCTCAAAACACGGAAAGGTTTCTGTTATATTTCAACTTCTGTATTGGAACCCTAATATCTCTGTAAGAGAGAGATTTGTGGGTCATTATCATTCTTCTATTTACACACTGCAGAATATCCTTATAGTTGTTCTATATATATATTATAGATCAGTGTTTTCACCTGCATAAGACTGTCAGGTGAACTTTCTGTTAATTGCAGTGTATCTTTGCAGCCTCTTTGCTTAAAGCCATAGCACCCTTATTGGTCTGGATCTCCCTTTAGCTAGGATTAGCATAGGGAGTGTTGGATAGATTAGGCTAGAGGTAGGTTAGGCATCCGACGGCCACTTAGACAGATAGAGGCCCGGTTGCAGTGACAGCCCAGTTTAGGGATAGGGACTAAGAGTAAGGCTAGATAGGGCATTTTATCCTTTTAGGTGATGCATCGCTGATCTTCAGACAAGCAGTGCAATCATCCGCATAGAACGTGTTACTTGGACGCCATTGCAGCATCTAAAGTGGAAGCGTGCATCTTATGGACTCTCACCTCTCCAGGGGCCCCTGCAACCGGACTGCGCTATAACCCATGGTTGGAGGTAATCTGTATACTACATGCACATATACCCGGGTATAATTGCAACCTCCCAATTTATGCTAAATTGTAATTCCTGAATGTTATTCTTATGCATCCTGTTTTATGTGGCTGCTTTATATAAACTTTGCATTAATCTCATACAGGTGTGGTGGTGACATGTATTCATGTTAGAAATATAAGCTGGGTGCATTAATACTGCTATGTATAGTTACTGTAAGTTGTCTACCTGTTACATTCCTAGAAAGGGGTGAGTCTCCTCAATTGCAGGATCCCTATTCTAGGTGGAGGCACTGCCATTTTGTATTATCACAACCCCCTCTTCCATATAGCGAAGGCTCAGGATTGCCTATTCATATACAGGTTTGCGCCATAGCTTGTTTGGTTTTGTGGCCATTTCCCGTCCGGCCCATGTTGATAAATGTCCAGACGGGGGCGCTGCTGATGCGGGTTGACATTTCTAAATGTCCCCTTACATCCACTTCCTGTCCACGCTCCCTG